CACGTGGTTAACATTTGGACGCTGGAGAACCGACTCACGTTTATGACGGTCGCCGTGTCCCGGGGTCACGTGACCGTCTTTGGCGATCTTCTGACAAGCCAAGTCAACGGGGGGAAGCCAGATTCACTTAACATCCTGGGTTGCCAACTTATCAACTGCGGCGATTCGCTTCACAGCCGTGGCAAGAAAAGTCATAAAATGGAGCAAGACTCCCTTAACAAATTTCTCGTTTAGCAACCTATATTTGGGGCTCAAAGGTGGTCGTAAATTGAAGACTACCTGTATTAAAAATGTTTCTTTTTCCCATTTTTAGGAAAAGGAGAAAATAAAAACAACAGCAGGCCTGTTTTTGTACTTTCAAAACCCTATCTTTCGAAATCTCAAGCAGACAAGGACCTAAGAGGAACTGAATTTAAAGGAAGGAAGGAAGGAAGGAAGGAAGGAAGGAAGGAAGGAAGGAAGGAAGGAAGGAAGGAAGGAGGGAGGGAGGGAAGTGAGGGAGGGAGGGAGGGAGGCAGGGAAGGAAGGAAGGGAGGGGGAAGGAGGGAGGGAGGAAGGAAGGAAGGAAGGAAGGAGAAAGAAAGAAAGAAGAGAGAGAAAGGGAGGGAGGGAGGGAAGGAAGGAAGAAAAAGAGAGAGAGAGAGGAAGGGAGGGAGGGAGAGAAGGAAGGAAGAAAGAAAGAAAAAGAGAGGAAGGGAGGGAGGGAGGGAGGGAGGGAGGAAAGGAAGGAAGGAAGGAAGGAAGGAAGGAAGGAAGGAAGGAAGGAAGGAAGGAAGGACCCTGAATAGCAAATCTCTTTCTAGCTATTCAGCATCTAAAACATATTTGCTATTTGAGGTTTCTTCCATGCCTTTTTTGCATCTTTCATCCTTTCACTTCACTAAAAAAAAATAAAGTTTGGTGAGATATTTCTGCCTAAAGACCATGATGAGAAAACAAAACTAAGGACATATTCCAAAGATAGATTTTTGCACTGTAGGGAAATAGACACAGGGGGAAAACCGTGCCCTATTTTGATTCATAAATTCACGTTACTCAGAATGGAATATATTATGCCCCACTTACAAGCCAACGTGATTAAAAACAATCAGTTATATTTGGGGGAAGCAAGAGAGAAGGCAGGCCCATCTATCTGACCAAAAGACAAGAGAAATTTTATATATAAAATACCCCCTGGTCTTTAAACTCATTACTACGGGACTGAAAACAAATCAGTAGAGCAAGTAAGAAAACTTGTATGCATTTGATGCTAGAGGTACCATGACATTTATTTCCCTCTATGTCCTTCGGTGCCAGATGTATAAACTCCAAATCAAATCAATTAATCACGATCGAGTTAATAATACGGAAAAGCCTCAGGAGAAATGCTGGTTTACTCACTCTTTTTGTGCAGCCAATTTAAAGACTTTGGACAAATCTCAATAATTAGATTTTACTGGTCAAAACTGAGCGTTAGGCAGTCACCACGGTGTCCCTGGCTTGTACCGATGGCATCTCAAAGGTGTTTTTCCAAAAAGCAACTGGACTTCCTTTGTTTTTATTTGAAGATGTTTTGCTTGTCATCCAAGAAGCTTCATCGGTTTTGGCGGGTTCTGAAGCTTCTCGGACGAGAAGCGAAATGTCTTCAAATTAAAACAAAAGAAGTCCAGTTGCCTTTTGGGGGGGAAAAAAAACACCTTTGAGACAACCATGATCTGAATGACTGAGAATCTCCATAGATATATTGAGATGGTCTCCTAACTTGAGATCTACTAATGGCGACTACGTTAGACACGTTTTTCATTAACAAACAAGGGAGAAATAATGAAAGGACAAGAAAAGGAGAGCCTTATGCTGGATGCAGAAATGAAAAGGAAAACCATCTAATGACAGAAGGGCAGACTGAGAGCGTCAACGTAAAAAAAAAAGAGGCTACATTTTATAGATATTCAAACGAGGGACCTTATCTTCTAAATTGCCAAGAGGAAACACAAGCATGTTTTTCAAGGAAGCCATGAAAATGGGGTCACGATCATTAAAGGATGCTGACTTAATCAAGAAGATCTTTTTTTATTTTTAGGAGGTCTCTCTTTTGTCGAGACGAGTCTTACCATTACGTTAATCAAGCAGCTATCAAGTTACTCGGCTTTCTTCTGACGATTTCGATAAAGCCGAGTTGTGTTTCTACGGGTTTGGTTTGCGGGACTTAAATGAAAACCGTTCCATTGGATTTGACCTACTTTGAAAGACGAGGGTCATCGGAAGTAAAGGTAAGTCCTTGACTTACGAGCACAAATGAGCCCAAAGTTTCTGTCGCTAAGTGAAACACTGGTTAAGTGAGTTTTGCTCCATTTTACCACCTTGCTTGCAACAGTTATTCAATGAATCCTTGCAGTTGTTCAGTTAGTAACGTGGTTGTTAAGTGAATCTGGCTCCTCCCCGTTGACTTGGGTTGGCAGAAAGTCGCAAAAGGGGAGTCACATGACCCTAGGACACCGCAACCCTCATAAATACGAGCCCTTTGCCAAGCATCCCAATTTTAATCACATGATCGTGGAAATGCTGCAATGGTCGTAAATGTGAAAAATGGTCATAAATCATTTTTTTCAGTGCTGTTGTAACTTTGAACAGTCACTAAATGAACTGTTGTAAGTCAAGGACTACCTATATCAGAGATGGTGAAACCTTTAGAGATTGAGTGCCCAAACTGCAACCCAAAACCCACTTATGCATCGTCGAGTGCCGGATGGGTATGGCCCATTGGCTAGGCGTGGCCCATTGGCTGGGTGTGGCCAATTGGGTGGGTGTGGCTGTGGTAGTAATGGCAGACTGGGTGGGACTCAAAAGTTCAATCAATCAATTCCAATTTTGCAAGATCTTTTTTTTCCCACAAGAAGTTGAAATTGACTGATTGAACATTATTTTTTTTTTTTGCACACGGCGGCGGAGGCCTAAAGCGAAAAGGTTTTATAAAACCCAGCTAAAGGCCTAGGACTGGGGCGATGGCGCGCGTGCCATAGGTTCGCCACCACTGACCTATATTAATATGATTTATTTGTTGATGATTAATTGGCCTGTTTATTGTCAGCTGCCCACCTAAAAGCTACTTCTCCTTTCTAGATATTGCTCATAAAGTGCTTTTTTTAGTGCCATTGTAACTGCAAACAGACACTAAACAAGCTGTTGTAACTTGGGGAGTACCTGCACATCTAAATAGTAAGCTCAGGGATAGCTCCTGCGGACATAGATCTACCCCTGCAGAGCCCAGAGATTATATCTCATGTTTTGGCGATTAATTTCAAAAGAAAGTTAACACTGAACAAGCTTTCAAATTCATAGCTACAACAGGTTCTTCATCTTTTTATAAATCTGGAATTCAGAGCAGACAAGTAGTTGAATACTGTGGCATAACCCTCCAGGGAAACAGTCAGCGACAACATGGGTTTTTTTTAGAATAGAATAGAAGAATAGAGTAGAGTAGAGTAGAGTAGAGTAGAGTAGAGCAGAGTAGAGCAGAATAGAATAGAATAGAATAGAATAGAATAGAATAGAATAGAATAGAATAGAATAGAATAGAATAGAATAGAATATAGAACTGGGATCTTGGAGGTCTTCTAGTCCAACCCTCTACTCAAGCAGGAGAACCTATACCATCTCAGACAAGTGACTGTCCAGTTTCTTCTTAAAAACCTCCAGTGATTGGTGAGCCAGTTTCATTGGACACCTGGGAAACTATTTGGGTGAGAAATGTCAAATTTACTCAAGCACAGAATCTAAGGGAGAATTTTTATAAAATGTTTTATAGATGGCACCTTGATCCACAAAAAATGTCTTACATGTACCCTGACGTGCAACCTAAATGTTGGAGATGTGGTTATAAGGAGGCTTCCTATTATCATATTTGGTGGTCATGTAGAGAGATAAAAGCATTTTGGATCAAAATATGGTGGAATATCCAGAGAATTTTTAGAAGGAGGGTAAAATTTACTCCGCAATTATTTTTGTTAGGTATTGTTACAGATTGTGATACAAAGGAGGTTGTATTGATGTTAAACTTGATCACAGCCGCGAGGCTGTTAATTGGACAATATTGGAAGAAGGAATCTTTGCCTACATTGCAGGAATGGTTTTTTAAAGTAGCTTATCTGGCAGAAATGGCAAAGATTTCGGCTTTCTTAAAGCAACAAACGCAAGAGAAGTTTTTTGCTATCTGGGACAAATGGATAAAATTTATACAATTTAGATTGGGTATACAAAAATATTATATAGCTTTTTCATAAGTTTTATTTTTATATATATTATAGATATCTTTTTTATATATATAAATATAAAGTTTTTAATTTAATTTTTATTTTTTTTTTTTTTTTTATTATTATTATTATTTCTTAAGCCTATATTCTGCTCTGGGAAGCTCAGGGGGGGGGAAGGGAGGGTTTTTGGGAGGGGTGTGGGGTGGGGGTTTTTTTTATATGTATTGTTTAATTTTTTTTTCTTTTGTATATGTTGTTTTTTGTTCTGTATTGTTCTTGTTTTTTTTTTTAAAATTTAAAAAAATTTTAAAAAAAAAAAAAAAAAAAAAAAAAAAAAAAAAAACCTCCAGTGATGAAGCACCCACAATTTCTGAAGGCAACTTCTGTTCCACTGATTGATTGTCCTCACTGTCAGGAAGTTTCTCCTTAATTCCAGGTTGTTTCTCTCTTTGGTCAGTTTCCAACCATTGTTTCTTGTCCTGCCCTCTGGGTGCTTTGGAGAACAACCTGACCCCCTCTGCCTTGTGGCAGCCCCTCAGATATTGGAACACTGGTATCATGTCTCCCCTATTTCTTTTTTTCTTTAGACTAGCCAAACCCAAGTCCTGCAGCCGTTCTTCGTCTGTTTTAGCCTCCAGGCCTTTGATCATCTTTTGATGACCTTGGCTGCTTTGGTTCAACCCAATAATTACCAATCCACCACGGGCCTTTGATTCTTTTGGTTTCTAATAGCACGGCTCAATTTCTAAAGCACATACTTCTAACACTTACCTTAGTGTAAACTGATCTGCTAGAGAGCCACTGGCGAGAGAGACATGGAACATGACAAGATCTCCTTCCTTGACCGGGCTAAGTGGCAGACAGAGGAACAGGTTATTGTCAAGCTTTAGGGACGACTTCTTGACTTTGCCTTGAGTTGGATAAAGAATAACGCTGCCAACTCTTTCCAGCGAGGCCATGGGCCCTTGGGCCTCATCCTGGCCTCCTGGCTGAAGAAAGCTCTCCAGCTCTGGATCTCCTGAAGGACAATCTTCCTCCAGCGCTGCATACATCCAACAGAAAAGGTCCACAGTGATCCCTTCCCAGGAGTCCTCCACCTCTTGATACTCTGAAGACAATGGCGTCAATGGAGTTGACAGCTCCGGGTTGAACCAAGCCGGTGGGAACTCCAGTTCGGCAACGCATAAGCCCAGATGACCTTTCAACCGGCAGTTGCCAACAATGACTCTGTCCTCCCGGGATGCCACCAACTGTACACAAGGTAAGATCTCAGCCGGATCGTGGTCTTCCCAATCTTTGCCAGCCACATAAAACAAAACCTGGACTTTGGGCCTGTTGGCATAGACCGAGCCGTCGAGGAGGCGGGATTGTAACTTCCAATGAAAAGTGAAGCGGTCAGGGAAGCTGAACAGAGGCGAGGTCAGCCAGAGGCTCGGAGGCATAATCTGCTCCACAGCAAAAGGGCCGTAAGTCGCGTTGAAGACAGGCAAGCGGGTGGTTTTGTAAACCAGGAAAGGCTCCGTGCGGGACCGCAAGCTGGCGTTTCTCACAATCTCTTGGTTGGTCTCTTTGAGGAAAAAGGAAGCATCGGTGTTGAAAAGGTGGTAATTCACCGGGAGATAGACCGGCGAGCTGGCGAATCTTTGCAGGCCGTCGACGGTCCCACCTCGGCTCTCCACCA